TCAATAGACCTGGTATGGGTGGATTCTTTGTGTCAACCTGACCCATATCAAAATGGATTATTGTTGTAAGTGAGACAAGTGACCTAATGTTCTGCCTATTATGCACACATGATCTATAACCTTTTAAAATACTAGTGTGGGAAAACACCACACTTCAGTGAATCCCTCCCAAACCATAGATTCTTAACAGGTGGCAATCTCTCACTTAGCAACATTTGTTAGCGGCTGTCCATGTATGTGTGTGTATGAATTATCAGGGGGTACAGTTTCCAACCAGGTAACCAAGGGGAAATCAGAGCGGAGAATGAGAACAGGACAATGCCCGACACAATAATACACTGTTTAATGAGCCTAGGATGTCTCTGCTGGAACTTTGTGCACAGTGCCACCATCTGACCAATTGGAAGCATTTCACCTGAGAACTTCGGTGCACAAGCCACGGTTTCTCAGGTTACATTGCATTAACGAAGCCATGTGTAAAAAGTGTGGTATTGCTATGAAAAAACTTTTAAAAAACATATTGCCAGCTTAATGACAATTTACGTTGGGAATTGTTTGGAAATTTATCCCAGGTAATTGATCTTAAGAATGGTGCGATCAATTGTTAGTTCTTATTGAATGACTCGGTAGTGGAAATTACTAGAGCAGTTGCAAAATTTCTGGAAAAAAAATCTTAAAGCCAAATCTAATGCTATTATAAGTTGATTCTTATATAATCTTATCTATCTGTGCTTTAACTTATGTATGGATTTTAATTCTATATATTGATCCTAAATGTTGTGTTAAATTTACTATGCCACTAAAGGTGTACTGCTGCTACTTGTACTTGTAAAAACATATTTTCTACTCTGAACTTGATTTTGTCCTTGATAATGATGTGGATCTTACAGCTAATGCCCAAACATTATGGTTTCCTTCTAACAGAGTTGGAATGCCAGAAGCACCAATGTCCACCCTGACGAATTTCCTCCAAAGTTCAACTAAAGTAAGGTGCTAATGAGATACAGAGTCCTAACCAGCCTGCTCCTACCATAGCTAAGACCTTCTCCCTTAAGGTGTACCACAGCCTTTAATATGAATCGAGAATGCCCTCCGTTGGTGCATCAGGTCAGAAATGTAAGAACATGCAAAGAGGGCATTATTTCTCCTAAAGTCTGGAATTCCCTTCCACGGGAGAACTGCCAAAATCTTCTGGATGCAAGACTTTTTAAAAAAAACACAACATTTTGGATTTGGAATATCTGAGATTTTTTAAACAACATTTTGGATTTGGAATATCTGAGATAGGGAGTTATGGAGAAATAATAGATTGTAATCTGAACACACACACCCCATGTTGTTCCCAGGGGAATCCTGTCCTCCAGAGACAGCACCTTGGACTGCAGCAGGAGAGGAGGAGATGTGGAAGTCCCACTCTACAGACAATTATTTCTATCCGTGGAGATTTATCTAGACTTGACAACTCTGGGCTGGGAAATTCTTGGAGATTTGTGGATGGAGCCTGGGAAGGACAGGGCTTGGTGAGGGAAGGAGAGGAACCTCAGCAGGGCACAATGCCACAGAGTTAGGGTTCCCAAATCCCCCCGGGGGCGGAATTCCCCCCGCTTTCGAGCCC